TATATATATATATAACCTATTTATTCATTTATTAAAGTATTTGTTCATTCATATGTTTATTTATTTAACCATTTCTCAATTAATTATTTATTTTTTTTTATTGCAGTCACTAATACTGTTACTTCACTAAATTTTTGCTCTGCTAGCGACTTTGAGTATTCCGCAAGTAACTCATCGTTCTTCTGTCTTAAGGCAATCTGAAAATATGCTATGACATCCCCGGTGCCGGTTTGCAGCATCGTTCAGTTTCGATAAAAAATATCGTTGCTGTTTTTTGCCAGGCCGCAGCCATATGTCTAATTCCGGATGCAAGTGGGATTGCTCTGATACTAACTAATGGCAATGTCCTTCTCATTCCACTACGTCTACTTATTGTACGTTTATTGTTAATAGAATTATGAAATGGTATGGCATAATTTGTATCCAAAAAATTTATATTAAAGGATATTCCATGGGGTCACGGTGGAATCTTCAGTAATGACTCTTTCACTCACATTGAGGTTGAAGTAAAGAACCAGCTATGCCTTAAGCTGCCGACTTCTGCAATCTGTTATTTATCGCTCTATTCAAAGCGGCCTATACTTATCTATAGCAATAAGGTAACCTCATTTACTGGTTTGCTCGAACTGTTCAATTTTTCTACAGTATATCAGTAAAATTTATAGGCAGGTCAGATTTTTGTGATTGATCTGGTGATACGAAGAGTTTCTGTTGGCCTAGGAGCTCCGCAGAGTATTCATAATATTGAAACGTTGTCAACTGATAATAGCGTTCACTTGTTGGTAAGCTTACAAGTGGGTAAATCACCGCGGGATTTCAGCGTAGTAATGATATGCCGTCTAGAACTGTTAGAACGGAAAGCTTTCTGACTTAAGGGACTTTTCTCAAAAGTGTCATATTTTTTAGGTTACGGGTTTTACTGGTGCTCAATGGATACTGCCACTAGAAGAGGGAGGCCTCTCATTACGTGAAACACTGAGCCGAGTTGTGCCTTCAGAGCTTAAGCAGGTCTGCAGAGTGCCTATTAAATTAAGCATAACAGAAAACAATAAATTATGTTCTTTGGAAACGGACCAGTGTCGATTAAAGGTAACAAATTCAATTTTCATAAATAAGGATAAATTAAACACAATTTGACACATTTCTTTCTTATGTTCAGGGATTTTGATTTATTTAAATGACCTACTCTGCCTAAATTATGCTTTTTAAGTTGTATGATGATGTATCTCTCAACGAGCCTGTGGTGGATGTCAACGTTCCAAAAGATTGTTGGATGGTTTATTGGACCGATAACGCTGTTTTTGCGCTGTGTGACCAAACAAAACTTTTTGTTTCTGTTCACTGTGGGGTATGCTCAGTTTTTGATCTGGTTTATGTGCTTCAATTTTCTAACAGCGTTAAATAGAGTAATTTTACAAGTTTTTAAACTTGTGTTCTTGATTTTATTATGTTCCCTGTTTTCATTTGCCTTCTAGTGTAGGATTTTTTGTCTGATTCGTACATTTTTTAGTAAAATATACATTTCTGCTTGTTTAGCAAACGTCTTCTTTCACGGATTTGGTTTATGACGAATTTGATGAACCGCTGCCTGCAAAAAGTATTTTGGGCATTATACCCGCCGCAAAAACATGTTTCTTCCCCTCTTGTATTCTTATAGCTGATAAAGGCGCTCTTTTTATTCATCCTCAAGGGTTCATATTTACAGATAAATTCTATTTGAATCAGAGCGAAAAATTGTTTATTCTCCCTTTGTATTTTTTTCTACCTAATAAAAGTTCCGAATTTAGACCGCTAGACGACCGACTGGTCAGAGTCGCTTCGCAACATCATTACTCGCTAGATTTTTGCACTAAACTGGCAGCGAAGCTAAACCGTCCACAGCTAGAATTCTGTACGAAAATTATACGCCACTCTCTCAGTTTGTTCCTTGCTAATGACGGAATGGCAAGTTTTTTGGAGGAAATCACGCGTCTGGCTACAGAACTGCCGGTAATTATTTTTGTTTAATTTCACGTTGATTTTCTTTGGGTTGCTTAATATTGATAAAGTATGGATATATTGTTTTATTGGTTAGAAGGGTGATTTTCTCCTTATGTGCCATAGTTTAAAAAACCGTCACTTGGAGGAAGTGGTTTTTTCAACTTTTTGCTTACATTTTATTTCTTTATTTTTTTTATTTATTTCTTTATTTTTTTGGACTATAATTTGTTGCTTTCAGTCATAAAGAAAGTACCATCTGCCTGGTCTTTAGCTTATTTTTGAAATTATTTAGTGGAATTAATGGTAAAAATAATTTTACGACCAATTTTTGTTTGAAACATTTTGACATGGTCTTTCTATGAAAAAACTGAGAATATTTTTAGAGTCTAACATTTAAAGTCTCCAGATGCATTTAACTCTCAATATCTGCAGTGAGAAAGAAGAATTTTTCAGAAAATTAGTTTGTGGTCATCCGGTTTATTATCTATAATCGATGATGTCTTTTAACTGTGTCTTTCCTATCAAAAGTCATATAACTCTGTTCTTATGGCTTTATTTCATTCCATTTGAGATTACTTTTCCTAGATGAGGACAGAGAAAGCAAGCAGCGGCAAAATGGCGGTGGATTGTAGCTGCGCTGTTGGTGGCTTGTTGAGAATTGTGGAGTTGTTTTAGGTTTGTATAATAAGCTTGTTGAGGGGGAAGGGTCTTTCAAAGACGCGGTTTGCGGTCATATGGGAATGAAGTTGGATGAAGTCAAACTGCGATTGATCTTAAGCAGTGTGGAAGTATGAACGAGATAGATCTGGGCACATATTCTTGTTTTTTTGTACGTTTATAGCGACATTTAGCTGTTATGGCAGGAATGGATATTTTAGATAATTAGAAATTGCAAACTTTCCTTACTCTTCTTGTTGCTGTTTTCGCAAGGCGAGGAGTGTTACTTTTTGGACCATGCAGTTACTTAAAACGAAAATTAGGTACTGCACGGTAGTCGAAAGAAGTCGAAGCACAAATGAAACATTAGTGTTTCATTCACGCGCCGCTCAAGGACCACTCAATATAATGACGTGATAGTCGGTATCTGGTGGTCTTCAGCAAGGACCGTTAACAGTGCCTAAAAATGATAGGGGTCTGTCGCTGTAAAAAAGTGCGCAAAGTAGTCGAAAAGCTGGAGTGGGATTAGCTACTTCGGTTTAGAAAGAAAGATGTGATCTTGCATAATGAGAACGTATTATGGGAATTATGACGTTTGAAATTTAAGACGGAAGATCACTTATCCTACACTTGGACAGTTTCGTTGGTGGGTAGTGATCTAAATTAGATAATTTTGGGAACTTCTTCGTTACGTTTTTGAATGTTAGTGACTCATTTTTGTGAGAACGGGATACCTAAACTAGTACTTTGCATTTAAAAGAATGCGAGTTTAAACATTTTCTATCTTGATTAGTAAAGTTAAATTGTGAGAAGTCGGAAAGTTGTAATTTTAGCCAGCGGAGAGGTACTTCATGCAGTGAAATTTAGGAGTTTCTGTTACAGTTCTTTGTGGCTTTTGAAAGGATACAATTAAGAAATTTAACATGATAACGTTAAAAGAACTTTAAGAAACTACTGAGAGTTAATACAGGTTCTTTGCTTAGCGTGACATTAATCCAAAATCATTGTCAAAAATTTGCAGTTTTGAGAGGAATTTAGGTTTCTTATATTCTCCACGAAATTTTAGGGTCCTTATCTCTACTCTCTCGATATTTGATTTGTTGCTTACCTAATTTTCCTCTCTCAGGGGCTTGAAATTGGTGTAGCTGTTCGTATGTTTTCTGAATTTGGTTACGCCGACTTGTTATTGCCTGCTGTATTAGGCAGATGCGATGAAAATGCACAGGATCCATGCAGACACTCGGTAATTAAACTTTTCATAGCGAAATTCAAGAGGTCCCCGTGTGAAAAGAAGACTATTGAGGCTGATCTCAGGTAGATTTTTATGAGATAATCGTTTTCTTTACACGTGTTCGAACAAAGACTTTCCTGCAGATTTATTTAGTTCAGTGATTGTTTCAATGGAAATACTATTTATTTCATTTGAAAAGTTAGGTAAAAATTCTTTTTATTTTTCTTTTTTTTTAGGAATTTTTTGCTCAGAAGTGAAGACGTAAGTGAAGGTTTGGAAGAACTACTGACATGTGGTTTTTGGTCGTGCGTCTCGCTTATTGTTAAGCGAGATGAACGTAATTCGGACAGTATTGGAAAGTTTCTAGCAGAGATGAAAGCTGATTGGCCTACGTCTTGTGTATCCGAAATTGTTAGAACATTATCTTCTTTATCATGGTCACGAATTGCTCCTCACGCGGAGAAATTGCTTCATCGGATGTCTTCTTTTCTGCCTAACGTGCATTCAGCTACTCATATATCTTCTTTCTTCAAAATAGCTGAACAGCAGCTTGAAAAGTACATTTGGCACTTTTATTTCAATAATTTTATTAGTGTGTCTGTTTCTTTCTTTTATTTTTCGTTCTATGCTCTTGTACACTTACTTTTTTGCAGTTATCCTCACGAGGCTGCAAAACTTTACTCCCTCTCTGCTATCAGGTTATTAGAGGCATCGTCGTCTGTGGATGTACGTGTTAATTTTCTACTGTTTTTCCTTAATTTTTTTTTCAATTTTTTAGTA